CCCCCTCCACCTCGCCCGCTGTTTTAACTCCCTCACTAGGCCTACCCGACTGCGCTGGCTGGCTCTGGTCTGTGGATCTGTAACCTAGGTCTCGACAACGCAACACTGGCTCGCTATTTCACTATATTTCTTTCTCTGATGCAATATCGGGGCCGAAGGCGGGCAGAAAAGTTAGGCCTACTAACTAGACTTCTGTGTCTATGGCCTTATATCGTACCTTGTTCTTTAAATAGAAAAAACTGTGCCTTCGTTGATAAGTCATAATTAAACATCGTAAAGTAAGACTGGATGCCTCACCATACTATGCAAGGGCAGCAAAATGACTGACCTCACTTAAATCTACTTGCTACAACATGCACTATTTATGACATGGCAACTGTAAAATCACCATTAGCATTTCTATATTACACAAAGCAGCAGTAGACCTAATATGCGGGTGGTTGGTGGGTGCTCTGGTGCGGTTTGCTCCTTCTTTCCTCTATCAAACATCGTCTTTATCTCCCCTCCTTCTTTTTTGTGTTTGTTACTCTCTTGTAACACTTCTAATCTTCGGCACTTTTATGACTTTATTGTGTTGCAAGTGCCGTAAAACTCTTGTACTAAAAAAATACACATATTCTTAATCTTGTACTTAACTGTTATCCATGCACATACCACCAACTCTTTTTGAAGTTCGAAGAAACTAAGAAAGCATGCACAATGGACATGAATGTCACTGACATAGAAGTAGGAGCAACGTATGGTATTCGTTTTATGCAAATCATCTCTTCGTCACTTGCTAAGGCGGTGCTTTATTCTGGTCGATCCATCTGTTCATTGACAGTAGTTCATGTCATGTTGCACTTGCAGCTATAGATGTAGACCATGCTACCTCACTGTCTTTCCACCTTTCATCAGTACCAAAACCATTACTATTCATTATCCGAAAACTTGCATAATCAGCAGCAATCGAATGAAGATGATTTATTGTAAAACGAATGAATAACAATGCAAACTTCAAACTTAATTAAAAAAACAAACGTATGCAAACTTCAAACTTTACTAAAATAAGAAAACGTTGTAATTAGTAATTTACAACGTTTGTTTTTAGTTTAAGTTTGAAGTTTGCATTATATGCTTGCCAATGCAAAAGACGTATAATATGATAATAGCTTACTTTATAAATATAACAAAGAGATCAGACAAAGACAGGCATGTAAAAGAAAGGACATGCAGAGACCAGACCATCAATGATTTATTTATTAGAGGCACCAGCCATCCATGTCCAGGTGCTGTTTTAGCAGACATGCAGAGACAACGTAAAGAGCAAAACTACACGTACTTGTTAAACCTGCAGAAAGAGTGAAGTAGGTCAGACTAATATCTAGATATCTAGACTAGATTTTCTACTTACTTCTCGTAGTTCTCGTTCTTGTCCATCGGGACGGAGTCACATCGGTCAGTCAGAGTCATAGTACTGGGATGTGTATCCAAAACAACAGAAAGCGCACTTTGAAACGGAAAAATTGTGATTGTTTGAAGCTTGCACGAAGCCGCACTGCAAAGAAACTTCAGAAATCTGTCGAGTACGATCGGAGATAGTTAATGTTTTCGTCTGCTCGCTAGGAATGCGTTAGCGTAAATGAATCCCTATCGTTCGGACTTCCCTCAAGTACGTCTGTCGAACGTTCGTCACGAGGTAGGAAGAGGGCTAAGCCAGCTCGCGTCCTGATTGGTCGGTTCACACACGCGCTGGCCCGCGAGTCAGTGGGAATTCCCAGGTTTGCTCCACGACTCTACGATGTCGTCTGCTACAGGCAGGGGTTGACTGAACGGCTGAAACTGAAACGGACACCGCTGCTGTACTGTAATCAACGTGGCTCCTTCGATACCGAAACAGCAACATTAGTCAGTCACATTCCTTCCTGTCGCTAGTTTCGGACTTTCAGCAAAGGGGCGACGTGGAAGGAACGTTTCACGAAATCGCAAGCTGACTGCTAGATCTAGATATAGATATGGCTGTTTGTTTTTGTTAATTGTTGTCAACAAGTTGCGGGAAACTATTTATAAAAATGCGGGAGTTCACAGCTTTATGAGCGTATGGCAAATTTAAAAAAATAAAAAAATAAAAAAATAAACCCGGCCCCTAACCTCATGCATGCAGCCACGTATAACGTGGTATGTTATTTTTGCTGTCTTTGTGAATAATGATAATGAATAATGAATCATGATAATGAGCATCTGCTGTGTCCTTGGCGTTCAGAAAGGAATAATGATATTGTGCCCGAAATTCGTTTTTGAAAAACAACCTAACTTGTTAATGCGTTGACTATTCGGTCCTTGCAACCGTCACCGCCCC